GGGCTCGAGGTCGCGCGGTCCTAGCTCCGCGGCGACCCCTTCGCCCCACGGTTCGGGTCGAAGCTGGGCCGAGGGGAAGCAGACACTTGTCCGCCGCGGGGAGGAGGAGTTGGCGGGGCCACGAGGACCGCGTGCCGCCTGGGCTCCTAGCTCGTCGGGCACCCAGTTCCCCGACGGAGCAGGAATCCTTTCCGCGATCATGATGGGAGGGCTTTTATTTTTCTTTTCTTTGATTTAAAAAAAACAACCCCCAAGCCCCTCTTACTGTAACTGCCCCCATCTCAAGGGGAAGTTGGGAGTGCAGGGGGTGGGGGAGAGGCGCTAAGAAGCGCTGTCTTGTGTGCAGAGTTACACATTTCCGGAGCGGACTGCAGATTGTATTGGCATCCCTTCCCAAAAGTCACTGATTCAACTGAGAGCAGGTTCTCGTAAAGTTGCAACACGTAAGTGGTGAGAGGCGGGTAAGGAGACAGGCACCACCAGCACAGCTGATTGGACCTCCGGTGGGGTAGATACAGTGACTTAGCCACAAGAAGCAGGTCGGAGTTTTGAACGCCTCAGATTTGCAATTTTATTTAGCCATACCATTTTACAATATTCATGCTTCCCAAGTACTCAGTATTAATATCCAGGGTGAAGCGATTGGATTCGGTTGCTTCAGGTTTTTTTGTTTTGGTTTGCTCCAGTTTTTTTAACTAAATTTGAGCTAGTTTTCCCCTTGGTTGTTTCAAAGAGGAACAGTTGTAAATGCACATGCATGGCTTTAAAGTGTGTTGAAGTTTAGCTGGAAGTCATTCCATGCAAAATTTTGTTCATCTGCCCGAGTCCAGAAAGTTCAATGGTGATATTTACAGGGCCCTCAAGAATTAGCATCTTTGACAGTTAAATTGCCTGGAGTACAGAGTTTTTGGGTTCATTCCCTCCCCTAGGATGTCCAGTGTCCCACTGATTTTGAAATAATGTTGGTACGTGAATGGCATCAGACTGTTTTGGTTCCTTACATTTCAACTGAGAGGACAATACAGTGAACCCTCGCCACTTCGCGCTTCGACTTCCGCGGCTTCACTCTATCGCGGTTTTTGCGTAACAGCGCATGCTCTGTCATTACTGCCACTGATTGGCTCATACTGTACACACTTCTGTCTGCATCGCTACGTATAGGAGCTACGTATCAGATGCATTTTTGCTTTTGTACAGTGTGCTGTAATTGTTTGCGATTTTTAAGAAATTTTATCTAAGCCCTATGATGGCTCCTAAACGAGCTGCTTCTTCTAAGCCTTCTGACAATAAAAATAAGCGCCAGAGGAAGATGCTCACCATCCAGGAAAAGGTAATACTTTTGGATATAAGGAATCCTACTTCGCGGAATTTCATTTATCACGTAGGGTCTAGAACCGATTAACTGTGATAAACGAGGGTTCACTGTAACCAAAAGAAGAATTGCTGTAAATTTTAACTGCTGTAAACTGAAAGTGCCCATTGACAGGGTACCTGGCCATCCTGAGTGACATTTTAGTGAGGATGGTTAATATTTAAAAGGTAATTGTAAAAAAAAACAAAAGTAAATAAAATAAATAAATAAATAAATAAAAGGTAATTGTCAAGTGCTGAAGTGATGTTCTTTCTAATTTGTTACTTGGTCTTATCTTAATATACTGACTTTGAAACAGCATCTGGTGGTTTAAAATAAGCTTTGATGTTTTTATAGGAAAGTATCATTGAGGGGAGGGTGGGGGGGGTGCAAAAAAAAAAGTATCATTGTCCCCATAACTGTTAATTTTCAAGAAATATGTTATCAGTTATTCATAGATAGAGCCCTGAACGGACACTTTCATTAGTTCAGTGTATAAATTGTAATTTTGTTGGATAGCACTCGACATTTTCTGAAGCAATAGGCCAGGATGGATTGGAAAGACCAAATGTGAAGTTTACTTGAAAATAAACACTCCTGAATGTTCTTGAGTCAGTAACAGAAAACAGCATACTAGTCACATACTTTAACTCACAACTACATTGGCACACATTTATGTGTGTAGCACTTAAGAAGTTTTCAGATTGCGTCTTCATGTCATGTGTGCATGTATCTAGATACAGTTTCACATATGTTGAGAAAACATGTTTTATAGAAGAGAGAACACCTTTTAGTAAATTTCAGAAGTTCTGTTTGTAAGGAGATCTCTGTGGGCAGAAACAGAAATGGAAGTAACAGATTTTAAGTTATAACAGAACTGATTTCAGCCTTGAACTTGTATGACCTCTGATTTAGTGATTTTGATTGATTTACTGCATGAAAATCACCCCATTTCTGGTTTCTTTAAGAGCCTAGTTCAGAGGAAATTAGTTATCAAGTGTTTATTTAATATTTGCCTTCCAAAGGTTCAAGGGATGGATGCGGAGCCAGCTGTATGGTCATTTTACGCTGGGTCTGAAGTGATGGAGTCATTTTCTGCCATGTGCTTTTAGAGCAAGGTTATCCTTAGTCCACGGGTGGACTGCAAGGAATTCCTGAACCCTCTGCACTCAGTTGTGATCTAAATTATGTTTTGGTTTTTTGTATGTATATTTTTCTGAGGAGAAGGTTTATGTTTTAAAAGAGGTTCAGGACCCAAAATGTGTGAGAAAGAACTTTTTCTATTAAGTAAAATGGATGTTAAGAATAATCATTTCTAAGAGAAAAT